GCGTGTATGATTCTGAGAATAGGCAATTAAACTGATTTTAGAGTTCCAAAGTATACTATATCTCTTTGAAGAGTCGTCAGTTGCCGGATATATCCGCTATTGCAAGATTTAGTCGTGACAGTTATTTTTGAAATGTAAAATAATACCTTAACGAAACATATGGGAAAATTAAGAAGAACAAAAAAGAATATTTGTATAAAGAAAATCAATCTTTCCCTATTTTCTGTACAGACGACGTAAGAATAATAATAATAAACAAAATAGAACATAGAAAATCATCTTAAAGAGCACATATTACTATGTGTGAGGCTAATGGGATGAGAAAAAGAGAGAAATATGTGTTTTTCTGCTACACTGTCCTTGTAAAATATATATGATGTGCAGTATATATTATTATTCTAATAATAACTATTATAGTTGTATTTGTGCTCTGTTCTATCGGTTTTGCGTCGACGACTGATGGATTATTCAGCTCTTGCTACGATGCCTTTGTTACTTGAACGATCTGGTCTAGATCAGAGCTGGGGTTTTCGTCTTCAAGGTGGTGCCGATTTTCGTTCTGGACTATCGGTGAAGAAAGTGAGTGATAATATAATCTTAATACCAAGAGATTCTAAGTTTACGTGTAGAACAAAGATATAGTATAACATAACAAATATATTCTTACCTTCAGACAAATGAATTGAATGGTTTAATAAAAAGAACCTTTCAAAGTCGAATATTATACTACAATCATATATTGCTACATTTACCATGAGACGGCTGAACGTTAAATGATACTACTTGGCGTTCATTTCGTATATTGATCTCTTTTGTATAGGTAACAGCAAATAGTCCAGCTCATAATAAAATTTATCCTGGTGATGGTTTAGTATTTATTGAAGGTCGTGATACATCGAAGATGTCTCATAGTGAAGCTGAAGAACTTATACGTAATTCATTCAGGTTACAATTGATTGTAAGAAGGTAATGAGAAGATATTCGATTGCGTAATGTTACACAAACGGAGTACATTATTTGTTCTTTCTTTCATTTGACTTTTTTGTTTATCTATTGGGCAGTGATTTTTATTAAGGAAGAAATCTACTTGAATTTTGAACTTCTGGACAGAATTTTTGCCGTCAATTTTCGCAGCAAAAAAATTTTCTGCTTAATCTTTCATGTTGGTTCGGTAGAGATTTGCCAAAGCGCCAAAAAAGATCTTGATTACGCCACTAACTCAAACAGATTACAGCGTATAAATTTTAAAAAAACCTGTTGTTTTGCCGATCACTTTCCGCACGTTCATTGTACTCGGTGACTTAAAAATGAAATTCGGATCGACCTAAGGTACTTCAGACAATGTCTAATATGAAAATTTTTCTGTAAAAGGAAAAAGAAATCATTGAAATTATAATGTCATGTATCTACTAGTTACTGATATATCGTGCAAATATACAGTTTCTATTCTTTAAAATTTCAATTATGTCTGACGAATGAAATATATTTTACATCATTGTTTTTGCAATTGTCATTTTTATTGTACATTATTAAATTTTTTGTTGTTTTATTTCTAGAGGACAGTATAATTTCATTCGTCCAGTTCGACCTGCAGTAAGATTTACCCAACCGGGACATAATATGGTACCAGCATTAAACAATCAACCAAATAATTACCGTCGACATTAAATTACAATACATTTTGTTATAAAATAATAAAATTGAGCATTTCTCATATAATGTTTACATTACATAAAACATATTATTCTATTTTTTGAATGTATAAAGGTATAATTATTGCCCATTTGTTTTTTAAAATTCATTTTTTTTCTTTCATTACATGGTTATATTAAAGATTCAACTACTCTTCATAACATTCAAGAGCTTACTAACAATCAATTGTATATTTGAAGCTAAGGTAAAATCATCATTCAACTCGAATGACACTACCAAATATGCAGTGAAACTTGATTTGTACAGAATAAAAAACGCAATACAAAATAGTGATTACATTCTATTATTAAAAGTCTAAATGAATCTGATTTGATATGATAAAAAATAATGAATACTAACTATAATTGTTCACTTATGAGAAGAATATCATCATTATAAATTATATTGCATTCTTAAACGTGGATTATGATACGCTGTCTAATCCAGAATATGAACAATGAAATGTTCAGTTAGACCTGTTTTATACAAGGAAAAATTCATTACTCAAACTTTGTAGGAAATATTCTTCGTTAACAAAATATTTTTCACTGTTTCTGAATGATTGAAATGAGCCCATGAACCGGATTTTCGGTTGTCGTCTCCTGATACATCTGAAGAAGTTTTGAGTATTACACATATGTTGCAAGGTGTAAAAAATATGTTTAAAAAAGTGCACAAAATTGTAAATAAAGCACGGGATTCAAAATCGTGTAATAATCGGTCCCTTCTCAAAATGTTTTATTTTCGATGTAGATCGATAGAGAATTCAATTCTATGTAGTTTTCTGTCATTTTCGGAGCTTCGAAATGCATTTGTTGCAAAAAGAAATTATAATAAATCACCAACGTTTTTGACGCTGAATTACCATCAATAATTTATTTTCAATAGGAAATGGGAATGGAACTTTTTCTAAATATGCCAATCGATAGAGTTCGACGAGCTGATCAAGAATATGTGCGAAGGAATACTTGAGAGTAAAAATAACCGTTACTTTTGATCAAAAACCACTTCGGATCAAACTTTTTAGGGGTATCTGTCACAGTATTTCGCTTTTTTTCTCTACCATTCAAACTTTACTCACAAACCATTCCTAGTGTAATAAGTGGCCCGTCAAGAGAGCTACAAGAATATGTATAAACAATTGGGTTAACCGTTTGGGATCATGGTGATGAGATCCACCTCACGCAAAAAAGAACTAAAAATCCGCCTATGGTCTCAATGATGGAAGAAAAAAGATCGTTCCATGTTCGAAAAAAGTATCAGTTAATTAAGATATATATTTATGATCGTTTTGATTGTGATGGGCATTGCTCTTCTCATTGACTTCTTTTACGAAAAATCTCGGAGTCAAAATTTCTTACGCAATTTTTTTTGCTTTGAAGTATAGTCAATGACAAACTGATGGTAACCACTTGACACTTGGCATCATAATTTTACCGAAACAAAAGCAAGTCGCAAAACAAGCTTTATGAGCAGTGATTGAAAAGACAGATGCTGCACGACGATATTATTCTTAATTATATTTTATACATATTTTTACAGAAGAAAAGAAAAATTTTGATGTACAAAACTTACGAGTTCAAAAAAATGTACATTTACGTTCTATCCTCCCAACCTTTGTTGTTGTTGTTGTTGTTGTTGTTATTATTTGTATGATATTGATTTCTTTCACGACTTCGACTACGCTGACGATTATTCCCATTTCGATTATCATATCGTTGATAACTGTTTCTATCGTCTGATGGTGGATATCGACGTCTATTATCGTTATTATATCGTTGATAATTGTTTCTATTGTCTAATGATGGATATCGACGTCTATTATCATTATGTTGATAATTATTTCTGTTATTAGAATTATAATGTCTCGCCGGTTGTTGATAATGTTGAGACTGTTGTATGGTCCAATCAGGAACAATCGGTGGAGTTGACGGACGTGATTTAGCCATTTTTATATATTCTTCATCTTTGTCTGTATAACGATTTTCAAATAATTTATTTAATTCAGCTAACTCAACTTCGTTGAAAGTCATCTGAAATTGAGTGCGTATTTTAATGCATTCAAGTGAAATATAGTAGATTGAGTAGTGAAATGAAGATCAATAGAAATAACAGCAATTTCAAGCTAATAAAATCGAGTATATCAAGTACCGTTCGATTTTATTTCACTTTTTTATAATACAAATTTCAATGAACTAAAGGATATCAAATATAATTTAGTTTTTTTACTATAGTATACATAATGGCATAAGTTTATAATGTTGATAATTGACGTAAATATCTCCATTAATTTACTCCTAAACTAGCTGATTTTAAGTATAGACCTAAACTGGAACTCAAGAATCCTAACAATTTTACATTCTCATCGTTACGTTGTTACTGATGTGAAAAGCAGAAGAAAATTAAGTCTCTTTCACACTTAAATCAAGTTTAAGATTAAAAATGATTTTAGAGTTAAAGCCTGATGTTTTTGCTCCATTTCTGGTAAAAAGATAATTGATTTTCATCCTAATGTTATAGGGGAAAAAAACTGTTTTCTGTTAACAACGTTTCAAAATGATATCAAAATGATGTAATAAGTTTCCACCCTTCCAACAGAGCTCAAAATTTCCATAAATATTTCTCTATCCTATTCCAGTTATGGGTTTGGTTTCAATATTTTCTAAAACTCTTAGTGAATATTTCAGAAATTCTCGATTTTTGAGGTAAAATCTATTATCAACATGAGTGTATGTATATAGTTAAATTGTCAGTCTATACAGAGTCATTATGAGCTTCCAATGTAAGCATCATTTATGTCACTCTCCTCCCTTTTTTAGTCATTAAATAAAGTTAAAACTCATATAAATGATTGATTAGACTCACGCCATAGAATGGGAACTTAACAGTTCCAGTAAAGGAAATAAATCTATGAAAATACAGGACAAATAGGACGTTCTCATGAAATTTCAGACAATGTAGGACAAATATGAAGTCTGTATTTATATTAAAAAGATTTGTAATAATAAAAGTATCAGTAAAACACAACTCATTTCAATCTATAACTGTTGCTAAAACTCTGTTCATTTTTATATATATTTTTCATGAGGATAAAAGTATCTACAGTAAAACCTCTATTAGTGAACACCTCCTTACTATAAACACTCTCAGATTCGACGGAGCAACTTTTGCGGAAAATGTATCTCTCTAATGTGAACACACATGCAATATTTTGCTCTCTCTCTCTCAAATTGAATTAATTAATGATAATAAAGATGATAAAGGTTTGTCACAACGTAAATTAGCTGAAAAATATAATATTTCACTTGGTTCCATATCAAATGTATTAAAACGAAAATCTCATTTATCAGCAACAATCCAACAATCACAATCACATCAATTAATTAATGAATTAGAATCAAAATTAACTAGTGTTTATATTAGTTCAAAACAAAAGACAAACAACATTAGAGAATAGTTTTAAAAAAAATTAAATTTTATGTTGTAATTGGAAAATATTTCAATTCAAATACATTTAAATGAAAAGAGATAAATAATAGAAGCCCCTTGCTTAATTCAGGACTAGTGTAGAAACAGATATGCTAGAACTTTTTCTTCATTTCACCGTAAAACATGCATCACCTCTCTAAAGTGAACACCTTCCTATAGGGAACGCTTTTGAAAACTCTCCATAGTGTTTACAGTAGAGAGTTTTTACTGTATGAGAGAGAAAAATATTTACTGTGAATTGTAGGATATGAATAAGCACTTAATTAATGTCATAATGAACAATGACAATACACTACAATATGATACAGTTCAATGAAATAAAGGAGTCTAATCTTGCTATTGTATATTGTTGAAAAAGTATACGCTAAACTTAAGAAAGTCATTTGCAGATTTTTCTAAATAAGAAAATAAGTTTAAAAATAAATGTTACACTTTTGACTTAATATGATTCTATTTTTTCTTCTAAAAATTATTCTTGAAAATGATCTATTTGTCATTAGTCAACAGAAATTTTATCTACCTATTGTCATCGATAATAATAATAATAATAATAATAATAAAAAAAGGAAAGAACAATTTCAACGATATTGATGTTATTATTCGAACTTCAATAGATGATAGACTTAAATATCGCATAAAATTTTGGAGATTTGATAAGTATTAACGAACAGATCGAATAGATCAAAATCTCAACAAAAATTATTACAATTTCAAAATTGATCAATTTCTTCTACTGTTTTTTATCTTTATCGATATGAGTGGTAGAGAAAATCAACAACGAAAACTAAAACGTAGAAATAATCATCGATCAACGATATTATTATCAAATTTTACACATGAAAATTATGTTATATTACCATCGAAAATATCGTTAACGAGACACGATTTATTTCAATTAGAAGATAAATTTCATTTTCTATTAAAAAATGAACAAGCATTAGAAATTGGTTTATGTTCAAAGAGACGTCGTATCTATGATAATTTATTTGATGAATTAATTCGAATTATAACATTGGAATGTACGGAACGAGGACTAGTATTAATACGAATTAAAAATGAATATAAACAATTAATGAATGAATATGAAACGGTATATAAAAGTGGAATGGCCTATGCAATGAGATGTTATTTGTATAAAATACAAATGAAACAAGATTTAGAACAAAAGATAGATAAGTTAGAAAATGATATTAAACAAACGAAACGTGAATATCAACTAGAAATCGAACGAGAACCATCGATATATCAAGAAACAGACGAGTCAAGAATGTTAAAAGAATATTTGATTACAATGAGAACAACAAATGTCAATCTTAGACAAGAATTAGAAACTAGACTGACAACATTAGTATCAACACCGATTAATATCGGTGATACTACGAATAATGTAATGGAGACAGTTCTACATCAATATAAAAAGAAAACAAAAAACTCTAAATCTTTAATTCGAACGAATGAATAGATCTTTATGGAAATATTGTACATTATTCTATTTGATGCGTCAAATAGTCCGTATGACGTGATCGTTGGTTTATGTAGTACAAGACGGAGTTATATGAACTGCCTTTACATTAACTGAAGTGAGATCTTGTTAAAAGATTATTTTGTGTACTAGAACGAGCCAAATAAGCACTTAAGGTATGAAATAGAAACTATCTTCGAAACACTTTAAAAAGAAATAATTGTTTGATCTAACTGGTTTTCTCGCTTAATCGAATTTTTTAACAAACATTTTCTGCTCCAGGATACTTAAGGCAGTTACCTTCAACAGGAACCAGTTCTAATTAAAACAGAGATGAAGACATGTATAGAATTCATAAATCAAATAAAAACAACGAAAGAATATTAGGACAGTAATAAAACGACCGTTAAAATATATTTAAAAAGTTTGTATTAAGTGGTTGAGGATTTTGCATATAAGTAACAACCACAGCCGATATAGAAAGCCTAGAAAAACAAACAAATAAACGTTTATGTCAAATTCTTGTTTACGAAGAAGTGCATACGTACATGAAACTACTCAATACTTGTTTAGCATCATCAGTCGCACGTTGATTTGCAAATCCGACAAATGCACAAAATATAGCGATCCAAGCACACCATTTTATCTGTCGAAACGAAAAAGAAAGCCAGATCAGTTTTCAAAAACCTAAAATACTCATCATAAGTGCATACCTTTAACATTAGACTACACATGCTAAATACCATTCCTAATAAATTCATGTAATCTGGTAGTGAATCATCAGTTGGAGTTATGAGTGAGGGACGAAATCTGTGACAATTCAAGCAGTTGTCAATTAAAGATCAAGCGTCATTCTATTATATGATTATTTACCTATGAATTCGCATCGGTCTTCGAACATCCATTTCACTTTTAAAGATTAAATTCAATCTAAAACAAAAACAGATTATTCCCCTACTGAACTCGATTAAAAAGAAATATTATCTTCATCTCTAACAGGCGGTTTATCTCTACTTATGAAGCTCGTCATTTTATCTATATAGAAGAGTTAAGTATCGAGTGGTTTAACGAAGATCATTTGATACCCTCTAAGGAGGCTGCATTATAAAACAAACAGATGCTGACTTCTATCTCGCGAGATTCAGTAGTCTAATGCCACAAGAGTAGAATTATTTGAAAAGTAAATCTTGTCCTCTAGGTAGGCTCAGAAAACAACTTAACTTGATCAAATGAGACGTAAAATTTGAATTAAAAATTATCTCTTAATATACATGATCGCTTGAAAGACAGTAAGGTTTTCACAGACTTGTTGCAGCTACCTTCGATTGAGTTTTAACTGTTTTACGTCTTGAATCGGCTATTGTGATTAAATGCATGTGGAAGAAACAAAGGAATTGATAAAAAATGTGATAAGGTTTTTCTATCAAAAATACCAAGCGATTCGAAATGTTTGATACAGTATTCTTATAACAAAAATCGATATATCGTGTCGATCGTTGAGAAATGACAACTCCTATTTAACTTTTTAGTATGAAAGAATATTTCTATTTTGAACAATGTGCCAATATTGCGTCAACTTTAGTGCAGTAGCGCTTATGTGCACATTTATTCGAATTAGTAAGAGATGTACCAGTTGGACAAAACTGAAACTGATACTGCGTCATTCGATGTAGCTTAGGGAAACCTCTCCAAGAACTAGTAATTATTATCCCAGACTTTATAGTTACTGTACAATATAGTGAAGTGTGATTATTGCAAGCGACCTATTTATGACAAAAGCACCAATTAACAGCTTAAAAACTAATGCTTTCGTTACACACATCGTAGTTTTCTTTTTATTGTTTTTTTGAAATTTATAATACATCATAGAAACAAAAACAGAGAGAAAAAAGAAGCAGCAAGATTGAAAATACATATACATCAGTTACTGAACAAAAACATATATATGAATAGGAAAAAACGGGACAAAAAAAAGAACATTGTTAGAATAAGGCAAAAATACAGAAAGAAATATGAGAGGAAGATCAAATATGTATGCTACAATAACAACAAACAATGACAACGACAACAACAACAACACGAGAGCTGTTCGAATATTATCATGGAGTTGTGAACATTTATATTCTACCAACTAATTGAAGATTTTACAACCTGAATCCCGTTATTCATACTATAAGTCTTCAGCTATATCTTTCTATCAAGTGAAAACAACTCAACTACAAAAATATAGGATTAATTTATGATAGATTTTCTCAAGAATGGAACATTCGCAGAATGTGAGAAAGTAGCCAGCAAGGTGTTATAAATGAGCAGTTCTCATTTTGTATTAGTCGCACTATTGGATAAGATGTGTGCATGTGTTTTTGAACTGAAAACGACGCTCAGAATTACCAGTAATTTGCAACAAAAAAATAGATTTCTCTCTCTCTATTCAAATAAAATAAGTTAACTATGAGTAGGATATTAAACAAAAAGTAAACATCAAAAGTTATATAAGAACGCGTAAGTGTGTGTTTTTTTTAATACGACGAATGCAAACATCTACACACATACACACACACACATACATACGAGAAAAAAAGAAAATCCATGAATTTTTTTTGTTTTTCTATATAAATAAAGAGAAGAAAAAACAACAAAAACAAAACAAAACAAAAATAAACAAAAGCGTAAAAAAATGAAAATGTCACTTATCGCTGTTTTTGACAGCTAGTTATCTAAAATTTCATCGTAAAGAGCTGATTTCGCGGTATATTAACTATAACCAGATTCAAATTCGAGCATCATATCACGGTTGAACGATGGAAGCGGTGCAGTAGATAATTGTAACTAAAAAAAAGCATTTACAAATAGTTTAGCCTTATTTTGAGATTGAGCTATGTCACTTTTTAGTTTTTATCTAGCATTTATTATGCAAAGCATACTGATAACAAACATACCTCTCTCCGTTTTCTGTCTTCTTCACGTTTTCTTGCCACTTCTCGTAGTCGTCGTTGTTCATCTTCGACTGTTGCTCCAACATCAGGTGTCAACGATGCTGATGATAGAGAAGTTTGTAATACTGGAGGTGGTGGAGAAGGCGAAGCATCGGATAAATTTCCTGTCGATTGTTTAATGGAAGTTAGAGATGTAGACGTATGAGACTGACCATTAGTTCGTCCTGATTTATCTTGTTCTCTACAAAGAGATACATTACATTATACATGGAACATAGAATTTAAAATATTATCTTACTTTTTCAAAGCTGTGGTTAATGTTGTTGAAGCTGGTGCAGCTTGTTTATCTTTCTCCACCCGTTGTTTAGCTTCATCTTCGCGTTTTTTTGCCTCTTGTTCTTTGAACATTTTTTCCTGAAATATCAGAGATAGAATAGGTCGTTTCATTCTTCTCTAATCCAGTAAATAATTGATAACAAACGCCACGGACGTTCCTCTGTCGCTCGCATCAATGACCGTTCTCAAAGTCTTATAAACTTTACAAAAAGCCTAAACTCAAATTCATTTGCTTCAAAAACGTCAATAAAACATGTTTTCAGGGTGTCCCAATCAACCTTTGACAAAGTGAACTATATTCAGACTAGAACTCATTGCTTTCGCTAGTACGAAGTCAGATAATTTAACAAGATATTAGGATTACTTTCACTTCGTATATGAACGTTTGATAGCTAAACGTTTCGGAGTATACGCTACTTCTTCATCAGTAGCAAATTTTTTTTAAATTTAATTTTCAGTTTGCTACCTGTTAACATCTATTCGTCTAGACTATTGATGAAAAGATACGGGATACAGCAGCAAGACTAAAATCTCGTTAAGATCTAAAACCAGCGTTTTCGATTAGGTGGGGAAGGGAATTTCCCCACCTTGTTTGAAATAATTACTCTGTTCATTTTAAAAAATTTACTCCTACTAAAAAAAATTATTCCGAAAAGTCAGAAGTCTTTTCTTTTTGGTTATCAGCTAAATTTCTAAAGTTGCTCCATAAAACTTCCCCCACCTTGCCAAAGTTATATTGAAAACGCATTCTAAAACTTATCATGGATGTTTATACATTGCGCTGAGATATATTCAGAATTTGTTTCAATGACTTTTGCACTTACTCGTTCTTCTTTCGCTTTTGCTTGTTTGGCAAATAAATCAAACTGTTGTGTGAGATTTGACGGTTGTACTTTTGGTTGTGTTGTTTTTGCTTGTTGTTGCATTCGTTGAAGAAAAGCTTGGTCTTTCCATGAATTTAATTTTGATGAACTTGTGTTCTGAACACAGAAAAAATAATGATAGTTTTACTATAGAGAAAGAATATATTTACAGATATTGACAAACCTTTTTCAATGTATCATCATTCGTTCCTTTTTCATCTTGATCACTATGTTTCGATAATGGTGAAGTATTATTATTATTCTGTTGATTCATCGATTCATTAGATAAATCATCTTCGAGAGAAAACTGAGGACGATCATTTGATGTTGTCATAATACCATTTGTTAATGGATGAGAAACTGTAGTGGGATTAACAACTAAAAATTAAAATTTTTGAAAAAAAAGGTTAAGAAAACATGACATTATTGTTTAAAAAAATTCTGAAGGACTATCACGTATGTAAACATGTCAGTGGCATATTATAGTTACAAAAAAAAAAACTTACCTGATGAATTTGTTGAATCATGAACAGTTGCCGTTTTATCATTTGAAGCTAAAAGATAAAAATTGCATATAGTTAGAAGAAATTATTAAAAGTAGAGGGTATGTGTACATACTTTTACTATTACCACTATTATCAGCAACATTTGCATCATTTTTTGCTTCAGTTTGTATCGGCGACGAAACACGTTCGCCAGACACTTTCGTAGCGATCTGAATAAAAAGATCAAATTTATTGATTAAACTCTGACTAACAGTATATTTAGTTCGAATTTCGATTTCGTTAAATAAGTCAAAAAACATAATATTTCCATTAAAATTGTATTCAATGAGTAAATTAATTAGTTGAAAATGTTTTTCTCTAATCAACACAAATTAATTAGAATCAACAGATATAAAGATGTGAAACTCATGTAAAAACGTGCAGATAATCATACAAAAATGTCAAACTAATTGTTTTTCAGTATTACCTGTTGACCCGTTGCTTTTGTGGCTGAATAATTATTATTAGTAATAGGAACAGGTACATTGGTTTGTTTCGGTCCTTCTGTGTCTAAACATTCACGAGAAAACATATAAATCATCTTTTTTCCTACTATTACACAGATTAGATACACAAACATTAGTTTTTCTCATCCGACAGACCCTCAAAAAAAAAGATTTCTGGTACTCTTATTTGATCGCTGTGGTGCTTGACTGCTCTCTTCCAACTTGGTTGAATTTATCCGTTTCTTGTTATAATTTTATTTTTGATTTTTTTGTTTTAAAATAGATATATATATATATGTATATATATATTCGTCTAACGTAAAAAAAATAACGAAGAAAAATGCTTAGAACAATAGAAGGAAACACATCAGTACTGCATTCAGCTACAGGTGTAGCAAGCGAGTAGAAAACAAAAAACCAAAAATTCATAGATCAATAATTTCTGTACAAGAAAAAAAAATGCAGATGTTTTTTCTTAACAAAATACAACATGTCATACAACACTCTTATATACAATATAAGCTGTGTTGTGTTCATCATCGATAGAATTATGACGATGGTTAACTAATCATTTATCGTTAATATAAAATCAAAAAAAAGAGAAGATATGTCACTGTATGATTGAAAAACAAAATACACACACAAAAAAAAAGAGATTGCAAGAAATAGATAGTTATCAATTTATCTACAATGAAATTTTAATTTAAAAAAAGTAATAGCCAAAACTTAATGAATTAATCGACTTTACCTTTCAAAAATATCGAGAATACAAAAAACCTAGAGAAATAGTTTTGTCAAAATGTTCTTTTCTTTCGTCATCTTCACAATAAAATACCATTATCATTTAGTTCAATATCCTTCATCGTCCACATCATCATAATCCATCATTATAAAAGATAACTCGTAAATTCACATAAAAAACAAATAGTAAAAATAAATAAATATATATATAAATATATCTATATATATATATCTTTCATCGTTTTAATACTTACATTAGTAAGGGAAGAGCGTAAAGAAGAGTCTGTCGGAGAAGGAAAAAAACATTCTATTATTCTATTTCTCTGTGTTTGTGTATCCAAGATTTTTTTTGAGATTCAAAACGAGAGAGAAAAGAACATAAAAAACATATGAAAAGTTTTTTTTTTTTGTTTCTCTAACCTGACTCACTGTCAGTATCATCACCGTTTCGTGATGAATCTGAGCCAGAATCCGATGCTGAACTATCACTTAAACGTCTAGTCGATACTTGTGGTGCTGTACCCATTCCACTAACACCACCAGCTGACGTTAATATAGCACTACCATTGCCACTCGAATGTACTTGAGATGAATTCACACCAGCATTCGATGAATCATCTGAAGTAAAAAAACATAGACTTCTTAACAATATTATGCAGAAAACTTCTTGGAAACGGTTACTCCAGACTATTCATTAATACTTTGTGACAACATTTCAGTGAAACAATGAAATTTTTACCTTTTTTCCTCATTGTATTTGTTGATGATTGTTTCGGTTTTGCTCCTAATTGTGTTTGAACAGTTTTTAATTTTTCTTCTAATGCTTCTTTACGTTGAGCGTTTTGCGTTCTAGCTAATGAACGTTTATCGACTGTTGCTATAAGATAAAGAACAGAATACAATTATCAAAATAAGTCATTATCAAAACGTTGATTATACGAACATGGTTGCGCTGTTTTAGGAGGTTGACGATCTTAAAAAAAATCCACAGCTATAGAAAGCAGTTTGTTATGGTAGAATAACAACAGATAGTGATACAATTCTGGACAATAATTCAAATTATATATAAATAAAGCTTTTTTTAATCACATCTTTCATATTGATCGCTCAATCATGAAGTACATACTCTGAAGATTTTGTCATATCTCATCTAGCCTAAACAAGTCCGATGACAAGGTTTTTCTGATCTTAGTTCAGAGGAGTCAGATCCCATAAATTCTATTCTCAAACAATTTCACTCTTCTTACCAACAGGATATTGTTTTCGTGGTTTTTTCTTCAAAACTGAATTAACATAGGATTCTAATTCTCTTAATGTTGACGGTTTTAATGTTTCAAAATCTATTTCAATTTCATCTGGATTCGAATCACGTAACGATGGTTCACGCTGTTGAATAATCTGCAAAGATACATATGATTTATTTAGTGAAATAATTAAACTAAGTTTGAGGACTTTTTACCTGTACAACTCTACCAAGTTTTTCACCCGGTAATTTATTAATATCTAAACTTAATTGGCGTTTTTCATCATATGTCATTGGCTTAGCATTGTTTTCTTCATCTTCAGTATCACCTGGTAGTATTGAATTTGTAGCTCCCTTGGAATTGAGAGTGAGAGCAGCCAGAGCGTTAGCATGTTGTATTGTCTGGGCTTTCGTTTGCCTGCTACAAAACAAGCAACATTGAAACATTCCATATATGAAATGACATCGATATACCGTTTTGCTCCTCCTTGACCAGTGCCACCTCCTCTAGATCCTTTGCCCCCCCTGGTCGGTGGTGGTGCTTGAACTATCGGTGTAGTCGATTGACTAATCGGTTGTTGTTGTTTTCCAGCACCCATTGAATACTGTGAAAATAATCCATTTGTTTGAGGTGCACCTGAGAGTGGATAATGTGTACTAGATGTTAGTAAACCGGTGAGTGATGATGAAGGTTGTGTTTGTTTACTGTTAACTTTTGTTGCAGTTATGAGTCCTGGTGGATTTCGTGTTGCTAGAGGCATTGTTGACGTGGAATAGGCAGCGGGATTTAATAATTGAGTATTCGAATGTGTACCATGTAGTTTCTCATTAATATCATTGTTCATTGCTCGCATGGCTGACATCGTTGATGAAAGAGCATCGACTGCTGCTGTTTGTGAAAATACTTTTGGCTTTGATTTATTCAAACGTTTCGGTTTATTGTGATGTTTACGTTTTAATGTTAAACGTTCCGTTTCACGTTTTAACATTTGAATTATTGTTTCACTTATCACTTTTACCTAAAAAGCCAACAATAGTTGGACAGGTGTACTATGCAAACTTCTTCATAAAACGTACTTGATCATGTAAAGTTGATAATTGCCTAATTTTATCCTCATCACCACTTTCATGTTCTGCTGAACTTAAATAGGTAGACTCGTCTGAACTCGATACCATTGATGATGAATTTGGTTGGTTAGATGAATGACGATGCCGAGAAGAATGTTTTTTATTCGAATCAGATGATTTTTTAGCGGTTATTGCCGCTGAGGATGGTAATGTTCCACCCATTTTTGAAGATAAATCTGTGGACATGAGTTCATTATTGATGATGGGTGGAGGCGGTTCATCAGGCATTTTTTCATATTTACTTTCAAATAGTTGCTAAAATATAAAAGGTAAAGTTATTGTTAAACAGTGAATCTGAAGGCAAAGGTTTATTTATTTTCTAACTGCCACTGTTTTCGCTAAGTAAACCACAAATAAATCTTACTTGAACTTTTTTACACATTTGTACAACATCTGTATTCGGACCATTATATAAAGAACAATTTGAAAATATTAATCGAACATCAGTGGCAAATTCATCTGGTGTACTATATTCTCGGTTTTCTAGTTTTTTCTTTAAAGAGAAACAAAAACATAACATTCTATAAATTCTATTTAGTACACGTGACAGAACAATATAAACATACAAAATTTTCAATAACATCACTCAAATATCATGAACTTCGTTTTACTTACTTTCACTGTTCCTAAGTCCATCGGTTTCTTGACAATATCATGATAGTCATGTAATGCAAGTTGCTCAACATCAACCGGTTTATAAAATGGCCAAACAAATGCCTAATATGAAATGTATATACCATTCTTTTTCACATGATATTTCTCTTTTTCAATTTTGTTCATTCTTACCGAATGTTTTTTATGAAACAAATCTTTAATAATACTTGAACAATACTTTAGTTGTTCGGTCATACGATTTTTAGGACGTTTTGACGGACTCGTCTAAAATATACAATGAAAATCAAACCATAGAAGTGCTGCTCAATATATCTTCTTCGTAACTCTTTTAACAGAAATGCCATCTGGTTATGCTACATACCTACTTTACTCTATATACTTAATCTAATTTTAGTGTACTTGTGACTTCCTTACCTCGCTTCCATCTGTTCTTATATTATCTGCATATTTGACTCGTTTATGTCTACTACTATTTGTTGAATCTTGTACTCGTCTAGATTGACTTTCTCGCGTATCTGATACATTCAATTGAGTATCAGTTGTTGAGTTGTTGTCATTCGTCGTGAATGATGTCAATGACGTATCGGTTACTTTTCGTTTAATTCCTTTACCACCAGTCACTGTTTGTTTTTGTTTTGCATTAGAAGATTTTGCGAAAGACGAAGAAGTGAATGGTGTTTGAGACGACGACACTGGCGTCAATGGTTCACTTTTATTTGTTGTGGCTATCATTCCTTAAATTAAAGATTAACGAGATTACAAAATGGAAGTAAAGATTGAAACATTCTGAAAACTCCATCATACCTAACGAGATGTTTAATTGCGGATGAAGATCTGTTTTTGAAATGGTTAATGTATTGCTGTTATTATTCCGCGAAGATGTTGTGGTTGTATTTGGCAAAGATTGAGATGAAGAAATAGATGGAGTTGCCAGAGAAAATTTGCTTGATGAAGGAGAAGATGGTGCTTGTGATTGAGAATGATGATCAATATTGTTCAAAGATGTTGGTGAGAATGGAGATGGAATTGCACTGTTGTTGGTAGCAGAAGACGAACGATGACGAGGTGATGGTCCAGGAGCATTTGAATGAGAATTTGCTCGCGTTACAATTGAGGGAGTTGATGGAGAATGAACTAAAAAAATATATATCATATGATTAAGTAAATCATAGCACAGTGTTATCGTACGAAAGGCGCGTTACATAGACACGTGAGTCTAACTGATTAGTATAAGTAAGTTAAGAAAAATATCACATCGCCTGAAATTAGTCTGTGAGAATACCTGGTGACATCATGTGTTCACTGGCTGTTGATGGTGAAATAACTGATGTTGTTAAATTGCCGTGTGCTGGTTTTCCACTTGACTTTGCCGAATGAGGTTGAATTTCAATTTCCTAAAATAAGATTTTGCATATACATCTCACTCAAAAAAAAACATTAAAATTCAACTCACCATTGCAGGCATTTCGGATAATTTCTCATGAAATACTTTTTCTAACGTTGCACCCATAATAACAACATCCTACAAAAAAACAACAACATACAATCAGTGATAGATGCTGTAAACAAAAACGAAGAAACGATTCTTTTGCTTGACTTTTTACAAAGAGATTATTTGAACTAGAGAGAAAATATTTCAGAAAAGTAAAATCATAAGTTTAGAACATTCTTAGTCCGTGATGACTAAGCAATTAGGATCAGGATTATTTAAGTAAACAACCACGAAACAAAATTCTTTGTACTCACCTCTCCCGGCTTATTATATAAATAACAATCTGTGAACATCATATTCAAATCTGTAATACACTCTTTGGCACTGTAATAATAATTTGATTCTAAGCGACGTTTGATTGTACCCAGATCCATTGGATATTTGACAATTTTATGATAATCCTACAAAAAACAAGCTTCAGTGACTACAACAGCAACAAAACGCCAACATGAAGTCTCATAAATACTTCATTTAATGGTCACACGAGTGGCTTCATCTTGCAAAAAATGTTTTATGATTCAACAAAAACTTCCTACAATAATTTTTTGTAAATATTGAAGCGATGATAACTTCTGCAGATCATTTCTCAGTGTAATATCTAACGGGTAGATATACGTTGAATGCAAGAGACT